TCCTGTGTCACACTGCCCCCCACAGTCTGCTCCAGGCACCTCAAAGGTTTCAACCAACTCCTTGCGTCACTGAAGAGTCCTCCCACTCCAGGATACGTGAAGTAACTATGAGAGCTAATTTTGGACTCCACGTACTGCTGAGTGCACAGACAAACTGTGTGACTACACAGGTGTGTGCTGTCACTTCCTGCTAACACAGTTGTGAGGAAGGACTGAGGGACACAGTCCTCATCCCAGATGCTGAATGATTCCTGAGGCAAATGTGGAGACAATTCACCTGAGGAGAGCGGTCCTGAAAGGAATGGAAATCATGTTCAGGGAACGACTGTGATTTCTTGAAGTCTTGGTTGTCATCTGGGATCTTTTAAGTGTAAATACTGGTGAAACACCCTCCAGATTTAAAGATGAGAACAGACACATATTATTTTCTTTCTAACTTAATTTAAAATGGTATTGGCAATGAGGCAGAAAATAGAGGCTATAACTTCCTTAATAAAACTTCTTAACAGGGTAAGTGCACAGGCAAGACCATTAGATTTTTAGGGTAGGCATTACTAACCACCAAGAGGTCCTCAGAGTGCCTCAGGTCCCCTGGCTTGCCCAGAAGAGATGCTGGACTAGCCATGGCTGGTAACTTTCTTCTAATGTCCATGGGAGCTTTCAAGTCACCTTCCTGTTTAGGTCTGCTTCCAGAGACAACCTAGAAGTAAAACATCAATCCTCCTGGGACCGTCCTCCTCACCCCTCTCTCTAGCTCTACACCTGCTGTTCTCCTTCTCCTCCACCCCCCCCCCAGTTTCCTTACTTCTTTTTTCTCCTTTCTTTCTTTCTTTCTTCCTTCCTTCCTTCCTTCCTTCCTTCCTTCCTTCCTTCCTTCCTTTCTTTCTTTCTTTCTTTCTTTCTTTCTTTCTTTCTTTCTTTCTTTCTTCCTCTTTCCTTCTCTTTCTGCCCTCTGCTCTCTCTCCTTCTCCCCTCCCCGCATCCTCTCCCTTTCTCTCCCCTCCTCTCTCTCTCCTCTTTCCTCCACTCCCTCTCTTCTTTCCCCTTTCTTCCTCTCCCCTCTTTTCCCTTTTACTGGACTATTTTATGGATGCTGCTGGGCATCCAGGGAGGTTTTTAATCCCTTCATGTCTAAAGAATGACACATACATTTTAAAATAAAAACTTGAGCGATTTTTCCCAGTAGTTATCAGTCTGTCAGATGGAATGACCTGTTAAGGTTTCAGAGCCTCCCCCACTTCCATGAGCACACCGCCCCATGCACAATTCCAGTACCCAGAAGTATGTTTACTAAAAGAGATATACATATAAAAAATTGAGTCTATGTTAGTATTTAAGACCATTTATAGTCCTGTTGTGTATTGTCTTTGCCTTTTAAAATTAAGAAATATTTTGTGTGCCTTAATGTATTAGGAGTTCTTGGTCCTTGTTAAGTAAGTATGTACCACTTATGCTGTGTAGTCATCATAATATTGCTGAACATATGTTATAAAAACTTCAGTCAGCTGGTACGTCCATTTACTTAAAACAAACAAACAAAACACACACAGAAAAAAGCAAAATAAAACTCATTCCACTAGTTTTCACTTCCTGGTGTGAAGTCACACAGCTGGATGAGCTAGGTCAGCTCAAGAGCCCTTTCCAGAGAACTGAGGAACACTGGCCTCTGGTGGCCGCTAGGTGGCTCTGAGCCAGGAATTCCTCAGAGTGGCTGATGCTGAACACAGTAACAGGCAAGACTGGAGTGGTAGGAGACTGGGCATTCGTGAGTTGGTTTCTGTGATTCAAAGTGATCCTCTCTCAGGCCCCAAGCTCACTGCCAGGCGGTGGGTGGGGAGAGTGGGCAGGGTGAGATGAAGATTTCGGGTGACAGAAAAGCTTTTATTTCCTTCCTTCCAACTCCAAGTTTTCTGCTTCTCCCAGGGCAGGAACCTTCTAGAAGAGTTTTAGAAAATTCTCGTCTGGTGCCAATTTCAGTCCTTTGTGTGTGCTGTAGGCTAGGCATGCTAATTCTGTTTTATTAGTTAATTTATGCACTTACCCTAAAGCTACTGATCTCACCTTATATAGCTAGCACTGCTGTCCTGGGAGAAGAGGACTCACAAATGAACACAACACAAATCCTTTTCTTGGGTGACTGAAAGGGAAGTGAGCTGGACCAGCATCCAAGTAGCTCAGATCTATGTCATGTACATGAATGGAATGCCTCTGAATCTTAGGTCAGAGCCTTGGATGGCAGTGAGCCCAGGGAGCGGTGAATCCCAGTCCTGTCACTTGCTGTTGTTGGGATGGTGGACCAGGTAAGATCACCATCTTGGTCAACAGTACCTGTCAGAAACAAAGGTGTTGGTCCCATCTCTGTACAAGGGCAACAGTCAGAGGCTGGACACCCAGGTAGAGCTAATGAGATCTTAGAGGTAACAAGGGTCCACAAGGAAGAGATAAAAGAGTGGTGACAGTGGGACCAACTGGGGAGTCAGAAGGTACTATGGGCAATCCACGACTTCAGAAAAAGTAGTAGTTTAATCAGGAGAACAGATATTGGAGGCTCAGATATTCCTAGGATGTGCTGGTGTATCTGTTCTCTTCTGATTCTTGTAATGATGTGTTACTGAATAATGATGAATTACTGAATAAACTCAAGCATGAAACACAAATGTATATACATGTGATGTACAGGGGGGAGGAGAGAGAGACAGAGACAGAGAGAGACAGAGACAGAGACAGAGACAGAGAGAGACAGAGAGAGACAGAGAGACAGACACATGTCAACTCTAAAACTTGCCACAATGTGTTCTTATGCAGTGGTTTTGTAAAGCCAGGGGGATCTAGAGGAGGGAGATGGCAATGAAGTGATTTCCAGAGATCAAAAGACCACAGAGATGTTTAAGGCCAAGTCAAGCATAAAACATTGAGACTCTGTGTTAATATGACAGCACTGGAAAATTAAAACAAATGTAATGAACACTGTATGACTATCTAGGCAGTGGTAGGATCCATTTTCAGAGATTTGGGAACTGTAGACTACTAGGAATAATTTGTATAAACTGGATTAGCTAAAGGAAATCACAGCAAATATGAATGATGATTGACTGTATATAATGAAGTTGTTGTTCCAACTTTGCTTCTTGGACATAGACCCCCACATTCTCAATACCATCATGAAGGAAGACATCAACATTTCTAAGGGACTCCACAGTGATGTATCCTTCTGACATTATCATTGAGTCCTTGGGCATTGCCACAGGGTCAGAGGGATGCCTGGGTCTGACTGACAGTGGGCTTAATATTGTTTCACCCCATCCATTCACTAAGGATCAGTGGGGCCGCCTTGGAGCAAGAACAGGAACTGCGGCTCTCCCAGAATCACCAAGTGTTTCCAGGCTGCAGGAATGCTGTGCCTACTCTTGACAAAACTAACAAAGAATTAAAGTTGGCATTGACTTGTTCATTATCACCATGAACATAATCATAAGTACATTTAGTGTTTTATCTTTGAAATTTCTTCAACTGTCCTGTCAGCAGAATACTTACAATGAGGGAAGAGCTATAGTATGTGGATTTATATAAATTATATGTTTCCTCATTCCAGCTTATTGTAATATTGGAGGTATATTTCAGAAAGAATATAGTATCTCCAAAAATCCCACTATAGATATTTGAAAGCATATATAGATATAAATTTGAGAATGAGAACCGTGTTGTCTTTATCTAGTAAATTTATGTAGTAAACTTATCAAAATCTGTAGAAGTGGTCCCCAGCTCTTAGGAACCAAAATGTAACATGAAACAAGCTAAGTACTTCCAAGAAATGGGCTGGGATACTTATTTCCCCATGAAGGCATGAGCACAGGGATGTGGGAGGGAGTGGAGCAATCCATCTCCTGTTGGCAGTGTGTCCCATGCTGTGCTAAGTTGTTCTGGCTGTTGTGGAAACAGGCTTGTACCAGATGTGCCACCGGCCGTCATCAAATCTAGCAGAACTAGATGCAAGGCTTTTCTCAGTCTTGTGTCTTGTCCCTCACCCTATTAAACCTACATAAGTGCTTATTACACATCAGGGGAAGTAAATGCCTTCACTCTAGGGGGCTGCTGTGGCAGAAGCATGCGGCTGCTTGAGACCATAGAAGCACCAGCTCAGAATGTTGTTTCATAGAGTAATTGAGAAATTATGTCACATAATTAAGGTCACTCTTTGTTTCAGTTTTTCTAAATTTTTCATCCCAAATGATAAGTAAATATTTTATTTAGAGAAATGCATTTATAAAACCAGAATATTTTTTATTTTCAATTTTTTTTAAACCAAAACTCAGATTTGTCCCCCCCCCCAGCACTCACAACATCTTCAGCATTAACCCGGTGGCACCCCACAGGTGCTGCTGGAGAAACTGTGTGCAACCCCATGGCAACCTTCTTTGCTTCCTTACTTTTAGCCACCTGCCTTCCAGTGTTTGCTTCCTTTGACTTCCCATTTTCTGTTTCTTTGTGGGGGATCAAGGGAGACCCATTCTAATATAAATCTTCCCCTTCTAACAGAATCTGCATACAGTCAATGCACTTTTCATACATGCTACAGGGTCGTCAGATCTCCCACAGACATGGAGTCAATGCCAGTGACCCCTCCTTTCCTGATGCAGCAGCCCACTGTTCCTCTCTCTGTCCCATGTGCTAGGTAGCACTGACTAGTGAGCAGAGGACAGGAGAAGCCACAAAGGTAGACACGAGAACCACAATGGGGTTGAGGAACAAGTTCTTTACTTCCACAGGATCAAGAACAGAGTATTAACAGACTGGGAAGTTATCACAAGCTCTCCAGATACCAGAGTGCTTACTGTGTGAGCATGCAAAGAACAGGATCAGCCAGGAGAGATGTGAGCTCCCTTGCAGAAACATCTCAGCTATTAAAGGGAAGAGAAAAACTGGGAAAGAGGTCCGCATGTTGGGCAAGGTTGTTAGACTCGATTCTGGAAAGGTTTATCTTCCGAACTTCACTGTCCAGGTCAGCAACAACCCCCAGAGCTGTGGCCACAGCCTGAGCCCCCAGAATGCTGACCACTGCCACGGTCACAGGAACTGCCACGATCACAGGAACTGGAGCTCCTGCGCCTGCATCTGTGGAACCTGCGCCTGTGGTGGCTCAGGAAGCAGCCTCCCTCAGAGCTGGGGACACTGCAGCCCCCAGAGCTTGTAGCACAGCAGGAGGAGGCTGCAGGCAGACACTGTGCTGTGCTCTTTGGGGGGCACTTCGGGGAGGGGCACTTGGGAGGAGGCTGGCACTGCTTCTGGTTCTGCTGGCAGGACATCTTTCAGGAGTCAGTCTGGGAAAGCAAAGAAAATGTCTTTAGGCCAGTGTGTCCCTTGGGAATGGCGTCATAAAGCCCTGCTCCTAAGACTTGCTGCTCCCTGAGCTGTGATCTTTGCAAAGGCAAAGGGTAACTGGTCTGCATGCCCTGCAAGCCACTGCCTTCCTCTTGCTCTGATGGCAGGAGGGAATGCTGCTACTTCTAAGTAGCTCTCTGGTGAGCTGAAGC